CGAACGTGCTCAACTTCAATAATACTCTCTTGACTGCAGATCAATTACTCACTGTCTACACACACATTAATCAGTCACGTTGTCATCACCTTTTATATACCAGACTACCCTATATCTAGTAAATGCTAGAGCATTCGCCAAGGTACAGGATAGTTCTAGAAAGCAGAGGACGTGAGAATAGTCACGTGATCTCGCTGACGCAACATTATTATAAGCTAGACGTAAATATCATTAGTCTTAGAATTTCTGTTGCAACGTTGTTTGTGAACTCAATTTACAAAGTACAATTGAAAGTAGCCAGTAGAAACGTTACTTATAGAAGAAATGAATGTTGCTCATTTTTGGATTTAGTGTAATGTTAAAATCCAGGAGTCGATTCCTTGCAGTTGAAAAAGTGCAGAATGCTCATCGTGTAGTTTGCTCAGTGCTAAAACAAACAAGTGTTATACATTCTATATAAATTATTAACCACTGTATTCCAAATTTTTCATTTGAAAATTTGGGTAAAATTATTTTTCATTCTTTCTGTGACGTCATTTACATTTACCCCCCCATATAGTTTCGATAGCCCATTGTATAGTTTTGTGCTTAACTACAAACAAATAAAGATACACTGAATTATATGAATACGAAAGAGAAGTTCACTTCACCTTTCTATTTTTATGAGATCAGTTACTACTTGTATGGTTAAAAAGTAACATGTTTCATCAATGTTTAATAACTTCAACAGTAAAGTACATGCAGAACTAAAGAATCTAATTTTACTTTGAATGAAAAATTATATGATCATGTCTATGGTACTGTCTATGGGTTCAAGATTGGTGTCATTTCTTACCAATTTCTTTTTGTGTTTCCACGAAAAATAATGGTTGGAAAACTGCCTGCAAGAGTTTATACCACTCTACTTTCACAGATATGTAGATAACACCTACACCATCTTCAAAAATTCTCATCAAGCTTCTCGATTCTTACAGTATTTAAACATTAGACACAGTAGTATAAAGTTTAGTGTAAAAAATCAGGAGGATCATAAACTTTCATTTTTGGACACTTTAATCAGTAATAAAAGTGGACAATTCAAATGTGAAGTGTATCACAACAAAGTTTTCACAGTATTGTATTATAATTTTACAAGCTTATCCTAGTATTTTCTAATATAATCAAAATACTTTTTCACCGTGTTTACGAGATATCTAACACGTATGAGATTTTACATAAAAATTCAGTGACACAGCGGACTTACAACGCTATAAACCGGGTTTCGATACCCGTGGTGGTCAGAGTACAGATAGTCCATTGTGTAGCTTTGTGCATAACTTCAAACAAACAAAACCTTGTATTATGGATGCGTCTAAATACCTTTTGTTTTTTAATGTACTCTTTGTAGATAAACAAGTATAATAAAAAAAGATTATAAAGACGAGTAGGGATCGACATGTACATAACCTAGCTAGTTATAGTAATATAGAAAGTTTGTATGCTACAAAAAGTATTAAAACAAGAAAGTCAAAAGTATAAACACTGAGTTACTTAAAATTTAAACAATTTTATCTCTACTTTGGCAGATCACTGTAATTATGATTTCTTTTTATTAGCTATATTTTTGGGCATCGGCAATACCAAATACCAAGCTTGGGGCACGCGTATATCCGATTCAATTTATTTATTTTCAGGATTTCTACCAACCTACTGTCAAATCTAATTATATGTTCAAAGTAGTGCATCGTCAATTATATATATCTATATACTTGTATCCTTTTCAGTATAAGAAAGGAATTATTGGAACCCCAGACAGAAGAGTCCTGTGAAAGAATTAGAGCGATAAGGTTCATCATTTCTTCTGTAAGTTTGTCAGGAAAAGTCACTAATTTACTTATTTAGATGAAAATTCGGTGAAATAGTGAAAATTTGATTCACTCCATAAACAAGTATCTAGCGATGTAGGCGGTTTAAACAAGTACAATAAGCTTTAGTTTTGCTCAGCCAATACTATGAAATAGTCATTGTTAATACTCAGACATTATAAAGGTGGTTTTAAACGGCAATTTTTTTATGGCCGCCATTTTCTTTCATCACGATCCCTATTATTAAGTACTACTGTACTTAATGATACTCTTTAGTTATCAAGAATCAGCTGAAAAACGTCATTTCAGTCATTCGAAGGGTATACCTGCAAATACAGATGAGGTGTGATTTCATTATTAAATTTAAGGACCACATTTCGACTTTATAATTGTCTTTTGTTATTTACAATTTACTTTTTCCTGCTGTTAGCGGGATACATTGGTTCTACTAAAAGAAAATTACTAACACGTGTGAAAGCACATGCTAATCTAATGTTACCAGTAAAGTATAATATTGTTAAGTCTCCGTTTGTTAATTAACTTTCCGTAACTTTGTTTCCGACGAAACTTTAGCGACACAAGTCCTTACTTAATAAAACTGGTTTATTCTTTCCGAATACAACTTTACGATACACTTAATTCCAATATTCGCGCTAAAACAGACACTATAACGAACGAACGTTAACTTCAACAATACCCTGTGACTGCACTTCAATTACTCACTATCTACACACACATTA